ACTAATTTCTAAAAAACCATAAAGTCTGAGGACATGATTTGCAATAAAAAATCATTTCATTAAAGGTAAAATTGACTTTTTTACAAAAAACTCAAATGGGCCATTTGACCCGGCTATTTTGAAAAATTTCCCCACATGAGGTGGGTCTCGATCCGGACCCATCTCAATAAAAAAGTTAAAAAAAAAATGCCCATCCCTATGTGTGAGGATCTTAAGGCGGTTCCATGATGTACCAACCAATCTCTGAACCCCAATCTCAATGCGGAAGGAATCTTTAGTACTCTGTACTCATTTCTTCAATCTCACTTTTTCCAAGACGTAAAGAATTAGCAATTATTGTGGAACAAGAAGTAACAAACAAAAATTCTTTGTTACCTTGTGTAAAATCTTCCAACATGGTGCATGTTGAGGTCCTTCAAAATCATGTGTGGGAGATTCCTTGACCTATGTTTTTAACTTTTGCTATTATTTTTAAAATATATTTTCTCATCTTCTTAATCACATATTTTTCGATAAAATAATATTACACGTAAATTTAAAATTTTTCTTTATTTTTCAATCACACATTCTCTATCAATTTGCTGTTTCAAAATATATTTTTAAAAATATGGGTTCAAACATGCTCTTAACTTCTAAGTATATAAAAAAGTAATACCAAAAATTCTCAATGGTTGTTATCACATCAAACATCATTAAAGTTTGTCAAGATAAAATTATATTTTAATTCAATTTCAATTCAAATAAAGTGAGTATGGCCATATCAATAATTCAGTCACGTATCACAACAATGACCCAACAAGAAATCGCTCTCAATCCAAAAACATTTACATTTTTCACCGTTAGGCCTTAAACCTATCATATTTATTTAAAATTAGGGTAAATGATAATTACTATGATGTGATAATGACATTATTGATATATTCTAGGGCTATGCTAAGTGCACACCTTGGTCGACGGTCCTTTTGCAGCGGAAATTGCGGACCCCACCCCCTATGTAAGAGTATTGTCATGCTGTGGGTAGACTAAGGGTATGTTTGAGCCATATTATTTTGGAATAGTATATTAATGGAGAATATGTGGTTGAAAAAGAATGAAAAGTTATTGATGTGATGAAAAATATTATTTTATTAAAGAATGTGTAGTTGAAAATGAATAGAAGAGTGAGAATGAAAATTTTAACGTGACTGCTAAACATTTTTCTTCGTACAATTTTAGAGCTTGTTTGGGAGAGATTTTTGGGGGAAGAGTTGATTTTGAATAGTGATATGATAGGAAATGTGTGGTTGAAAAAGAAGAAAAAATTATTGATATGATGAAAAATATTATTTTATTGAAGAATGTGTGGTTGAAAATGAGAATTGATTTAGTGTAGAAAAATCTAATCCCTCCCAAACAGGACCTTAGTGTTTTGTCAACAATTGCACCAAATTCAAAGTCATCGTACCCTATTTAATTATTGTGGCGGGCGCCTTTAAATTTCAGTCTGACTCTACCAAGAATTAAATAACAAGTTGCCATTTTTGAACCAAAAAAAGGTGCTTTTTTTTCTACGTAGGGTTGATTTATTATATATATGAACACGAAAGTAGTTATTTGCGCCAAAACTCACATTCATCATGCGCACTAAACTATTCAAAAATTGGAAAATAAAAAGAAAATTAAAGAGAGACGAGAGGATATTGCAATAATCAACGTATTTTTTTAGGGAAGAGAACGCTTTTATTTGATTATATGATTTTATTTGCAAAATATATTTTCAAAATGGATTCAAAATTCAAAACTCGACAAAGGTAAAATAGAACTATCAAGCATTTTTTTCCGCCGCCTATCTCATACCATGCTTCTTCTTTCTCAAAATTGATTATTAGACGTCGGTCAATCGGTACTCGCAAAATTTAATATAAAATCATGTATTATATTACAGCCTATATGATAGGACTTTTCAATTCAATATCAAATGTAAGGTGATCATTTAAAATAAGTAAACAAAGTTATTTAATTTAAGCAATTGACTAAGTTGGTTGTGTGACCTTTTCTTCAAACCAACCCATAGAAATTGTAGGATCTTTCTCCCTCTATCTGTCTACATGTATTTGTGTGTATATATATGCACAATAAACACACACATTGTGGGATAAGTCTAAGCAAAAACCTAGCAAAATGATCCATAATTTCACAAGTTTCATTCAATAAATCTTTAGAGAAGATAAAGAAAAAACAGTAAAATATATAGAGAGAGAGAGAGAAACAGGTGATTTGTGATGGCTGGTTTGATGAGATCTGAAGTTTCATTTAGGAGACAAGGATCTTCAGGATTGGTTTGGGAAGATAAGTTCTTATCTGGTGAATTGAACAAAGTGGGAAATTATCGAAGAGAAGATAGCCATCAAGTTGAAGAAAATAATTCTGCCGGAATAACGATAGAGAGAAGCCGATCCTACGGCGGAGGACGGGGATTCCGCACCGGAAGAGTGTCTCTGGCGATAGAGCCGCCGTCTCCTAAGGTTTCTGCATGTGGGTTTTGCAGTGCTTTTAGTAAACAAGACAAAACTCGCCGGCGACCACCCAAGTCAGGTAAGCGTAGGATGTGATGCAGTCAAAGTTGGTGTTTTGCTGCCGCCGGAGGTTGAAGTTTCCGTTGGGATTGTTACATTTTCATCTCAATAGAAGGGAGGTGCATGAATTTTTGAAACTTATAGATAAAAAATTATGTTTTTTTCTCTCTCTTTTTTATTTATTTCATTGTTATTTTTTTCTAACTTCTTTAGGGTTAAGAGTTTAGTTTCTTAGTTTTTTCTTGATAGTGTAATTTAAACTTGCATATTGTTGTTATCTTGCAACTTGTTGTTTTGTTAAGGTTTTTGATGTTTCCGATGAACGAAATGATTTTTAATCTAGGACTTTTCTGGTTTTTGGCTCTCTTATCGTCTATCGAATGGATATATAAATACCTAGAGCTTGAAAAAAAATATATAAATAGTATAATTATTGATGTCAAATCCTTTGGCACTTTTACCTTCATTCTTTGTTTTTCTTGATTTTGTTATCTAACCATTGAGTCACATTATTTTTTTCATTATCATTCTTCTACTCATTTTCAATCACATATTCTTCAATAAAATAATATTTTTACATCATATCAATAACGTTTCCTTCTTTTTCAACCACATATTTTTATCACATCAACAAAAAAAATACATTCTTGACTCCAAAATACGCATCAAACAGGGGCTTAGTCTTTATCCCCCATTGTCCTAGATGACGGTCTCCATCCAATATCAATGTTAGGTAGGTGTAAAACGATAAAATGTCCTTTACTATAAATTAAATGAAAAACAACCATAAAGAAAGAAAGAAAACAAAAACAAAAAATATATAAAAAAGTATCGTCGGACTTGAATTTCTTCACGGCTCCGATGTTGTGAATAAATACGGTTGGGTACTTACCATTTTATATCGGGCTTGGATTTACGAAGGACTTCTTCCATCTCCCTCAAAGTCTATTCTATTTAATTTTATTCTCGGGATTTTTTTTACATCTAGTTTACCCTCGTAGCGGATTCGATAATCTAATATCCTTCCTCCACATGGAAAAATTCGGATGTTTAAACCAATAAGGTTGATCTACTCTCTTATTTTACTATACATAATTACATATAGATCCAAGGTAGTACATTTTCATATGTAGGCACATTCATATTTGCGAGAGAGAATCTAGGAAATATAATATGTGATATAGGATGATATCAATAATTAACCGCGTACGCGGGTGATTGTAACCGGTGGGTGAGGACAACTTGATATGATGGGATCGAAGTAAGGGTTACTTGATATGCACCCCTGTAAAGTACCACGTCAGAGGCCGTCGACCACCATGGGGTGCTCTACTTTCTAATGATAAGATCGCCTACTACCAGGGGGTGCTCTACGTTCTCATGATAGACCGCCTACCACCAAGGGGTGCTCTACGTTCTCATGATAGACCGCCTACCACCAGGGGGTGCTCTACGTTCTCATGATAGACCGCCTACCACCAAGGGGTGCTCTACGTTCTCATGATAGACCGCCTACCACCAGGGGGTGCTCTACGTTCTCATGATAGACCGCCTACCACCAAGGGGTGCTCTACGTTCTCATGATAGACCACCTATCACCTATGAGGCCCTCAATGCTCACTGCTCACCTAGGCCGTCTACCACTACGCGGCCGTCGACCCCCATGAGGCCTTCTACGTTCACACATGTAGCAACCACCATGCGGCAAATGCTATACTTAACCATACAAATAGCAATGAGCAAGACGGAAACCACCCAACGACGAACGTGGGGCATAATCAACTGAATGACGAGTGGAGGTTACCACCATAGAACGTGGGGAAAGTGGGAAGGTTTACGTAGGACACGTGGCACCAGCAACCGCCGAATGCGTAGCAACAGGTGCCTATAAATACCTCCAAGGTGAGAAAGGTAGTTTCCTCTTGGAACTCGAACTTATTGAATGCTCATCTACTCTCTGTTTACTCCCTAAAACCGACTACTAATGCGCACGCCGGAGGTACAACGGGGGACAAAGCCCCGACCTCATTTTGCAGGTAACATTCGTTGATTTGAGCAACCGGAACACCCCACACGTCATCATCATCGTGGAGGTAAATTTTGTGATTATTTCAATATGAAATACGATGTCTATTACCAAACTGTAAAGAGAAAATTCTCGTTATTTATCAAACTTTAATTTACTTCAATCTAGTTGTTAAACTGGAAACAGCAAAACCATTTGTACAAAAATGTTTTTGCCAGAAAGTCACCAGAATACTCACAATGTCGGGGCCTCACCTTGTATTTATTTAAAAAAAAACTATGCGGGCCCCACCATGAGTGTCTTCTCTGTTGGCTTTCTGTGACCTCTGCTTCTGTACACGAAGCAGAGCTCAACTGGAAATTTAACGTTACAATAGGTAAAGGAATACAATTAAGCTGAATGTACAGAAATCCATTGCCAAAGGTTTTACAGGAGACTCACATGGATGTGGGTCCCACCTGATTTAAATATTATTAAAAAAAGTGTGCCCTTGTATGTTGTGTCTACCCTGTATGCATGTTTTCGTTTCTGTATGGCAAGGCTTATTCAAAGGAATATGATATGACTAGTGACGATAATTTGACGTGGAATTGAGACTTATCGCCCAACATGATATAAAATTATTCTTTTTAAGAATCGTGGAAATACTTCTTACTTTTTTGTCGCGTTTAAAAAAAATAAAATAAAAAAATCAGCCGTCCAATTCGTGACAATTGCAACTGGATTATTTCTTTTAAATTTTTTTTATTTTTTTTATTTAACGTGATAGGACAATGTTAGGACAAAGTTAGTTCAAGTACTATGATGTAAAATCGCACTTTGTCGTTTCTAACATTTATTTCCTTTTGCACTTCTATTCTTAACTTTTTTACTTGACAATATTGTCCCTGACATATTATTTTCAGCGCATATGATCTTTAATGACGCTTTTCATTTGTAATTCTTCGAGTGATCATAATTCATATATGCCCAAACATTAAGAACCTTCGGTCACCATTGGACTTGAAGGTACAAAATTACATAAATGTATCATTTCATCCATAAAGCCGAGTGTCCCTTGTCCTCGAATCCAATCTAAAACTTACGAATACCAATGGTTATATTTGATAGAAGAATAATTTCTCACATGTTACTCACCTTGTCTGCGATTTTAGCAGGTTCGAGAAAAACCAATTCATGACAGTCACGACGAAAACCCACAAATTAGTTGTGTATGTTGGGGTGCTATCATCTTAAACCCGTAGATTGGATCATTCGAATGATTGTGATCGAATGACATAAAATGTGGAGTCTACTATCACTGGACGCGTTCTCAACACCTGAATTAGTTCTTACTATAAACGTCATAGTAAATAAGAGTCGACACTCAATATTAACACACTTGTGCCAAGGATATACTTACATAAAAAGCAAAAATTCAAATATAGAGCAACGAGACTACAAACTAAAAAATGCATTAAAGAAAATCACCATTGGACACATAGCCATATCCTTTTATTACCACAATCACGTGCAAGAAACAAAGACAAGAAAGTAATTAAGCAGAAAAATCTAATATAGATTCAACTTTCAGGTGGCACTTCACCTAAGTCTTTAAGGTTGTACTCGGACATGGATCTGCTGCTGCGGGATCATCTGCAGATTGATTCTGGAGCATGATCTTATCATCTCTTCAGCCAATGGGATTACAGGAAGATCATCACAGTTGCAAATTTCAATCATGAATCCATCTGGATCATGGAAAAATAGCTGATCAACGTAGATTCCGCCTTCTTCTACCCGCTGTCGCACGTAGTTGATCCCCATCTCTGTCAGCTTCTTCTCCACCATACTCATGCTCTCACACTGCCATGAATATGCATACATGGATGAAAACGCGTAGATGTGTTCGCTATGCGCATTATGAGTCAGGACTAGATGGTGTTCCAAGGGTAAAATTACAGGCCAACTAAATATAAAAATAATAAATAATATAAGGACTTAACCTACTCGTAACAAGGTTCGCCTTTTAGCCCCTCTTTAGTTTTTCTAAAGATCGGATTTTTAGTAATTTTTTATAAAAAAAAATTGATGATATTTATAATTGAAATGTTGATAAAAGTTGTAAATTTCATAAAATGTGTGCTTAGCATTAATTATTCATTTTGATTTAATTTTTTATCGACTTTTTTAGCTAAATCAAATGAAGCTTAGTATGAAACTTCAAATTTTAATATTATATCAAAGTCAATTATGCTTAAATGAGCAAATCGATCCATTTAAATCTCAAACGCCTCAAACGAAACACCACCTTCTAGGATTGCATCAAATATCCTAAGTAATAAACAACATATAGGACACATTTAACATGACTTTTGCTTTTATTTTTAATTCTTGTATAAGGCTTTTGGAAGAAACTATCTTAACTTTTGTTTGAAAACTAATTTTTAAAAGTACTCCCTATTTCAAAAGTGTTTTTAGAAGAAATCACATTAAATCAGTTCATCTAAAAGTCTTTCTGATCAGAAGAAGCACTTTCATAAAATTAGTTTAGCGGGCCAAAAGTTTCTTTTTACTTCTCAAAAATCATACCAAATGAGCCCATGATAACTTGAGCTATTCTTCTTAACGAAGTTGAGATTTTAAGACGTCACCTTAAACTTAAAAGGTATGTTTGATATATAATACAAGAGGAGTTTAAGATTCAATAAATCATCCACTCGTGATATAGACACTATTACCTAAGCTCATATCAAGTACTGCATACCAAACATGATGTCAATTTTTTGTTAGTACGTATAGAAAAATGATTCAATATAAATGAGGGAATAAATTACCTGGAAAGAAATGTGATTATCCTTTGGATTAATGACAGTTTTCTTTGGCAAACTTTCCGGATCTTCAGACTGCAATAAATGGATCCCGATTCCATGACCAAATAGCCTGCAAAATTCAAGAAACGAACAAAATCTCATCAAGAAAATCTAGTATTTGCAAAAGGAATTTCATTTACATTCAAGAATATAACGGG